GAGCCGGGAGATGAGTTCGCTAACGAGGAGCCCGTTGAGTTTGCTTTCGAGGATCCAGTCAACTCTGACAACTGTGCAGGCAAGATAATCATACCCTCGAAATCACTACTATCTTTGCTATGCTAGTTTGCTCGCTCTTTTGCTATGCCAATGCTACGATGCCTACCACTTGCTTGCAAGCCTCCCAAATTGCCATGTCAAACCTCTAACCCACCTTGTCCTAGCAAACCGTTGATTGGCTATGTTACCGCTTTGCTCAGCCCCTCTTATAGCGTTGCTAGTTGCAGGTGAAGATTGAAGGCCGTTCCTTGTTGGAACATCTTTTATTTACTTGTTGGGATATCATTATATTGCCATGTTATCTTAATGCATCTATATACTTGGTAAAGGGTGGAAGGCTCGGCCTCTTGCCTAGTGTTTTGTTCCACTCTTGCCGCCCTAGTTTCTGTCATATCGGTGTTATGTTCCCGGATTTTGCGTTCCTTACGCAGTTGGGTTATAATGGGAACCCCTTGATATTTCGCCTTGATTAAAGCTTTTCCAGCAATGCCCAACATTGGTTTTACCATTTTCCACCTAGCATTTTCTTTCCCTTGGGTTCTGCAGACTCAAGGATCATCTTATTTTAACCCTCCCCCCCCCGAACCAGTGCTCCTCTGAGTGTTGGTCCACCTGTCAGCTACCGGTGGCCACCAGGGGCAACTCTGGGCTGGCCTACCCGTACCTAAGACAATCTGAGTGTGCCCTGAGAAAGAGATATGTGCAGCTCCTATCGGGATTTGTCGGCACGTTCGGGTGGTGTTGCTGGTCTTGTTTTAACCTGTCGAAGTGTCTTGAGTTACCGAGATACCGAGTCTGATCGGAATGTCTTGGGAGGAGGTCTATTCCTTCGTTGACCGTGAGAGCTTGTCATGGGCTAAGTTGGGACTCCCCTGCAGGGATTGAACTTTCGAAAGCCGTGCCCGCGGTTATGGGCAGATGGGAATTTGTTAATGTCCGGTTGTAGATAACTTGAACCTTAATTAATCTAAACGAATCAACTGAGTGTGTTACCGTGATGGCCTCTTCTCGGCGGAGTCCGGGAAGTGGACATGTTGTTGGAGTAATGTTTGCGCAGGTTGCTCGCTAGTTTCTCGCACGCGCTTTGCCTCCTCTTCTTGCTCTCTTTTGCGAATAAGTTAGCCACCATTTATGTTAGTCGCTTGCTGCAGCTCCACTTATATTTTACCTTGCCTTACCTATAAGCTGAAATAGTCTTGATCGTGAGGGTGCGAGATTGCTGAGTCCCTGTGGCTCACAGATTACTATTACACCAGATGCAGGGCCTGATGATTCTGCTCCAGCAGACGCGTATGACCTCAAGTGGGAGTTCGACGAAGACTCTCAACGTTACTATGTTTCCTTTCCCGATGATCAGTAGTGGTGCCCAGTTGGGGGTGAACGGGACGGTTGTCGCATGTTGGGTTCTCTTTTATTTCGGCGCCGTAGTCGGGCCATGAGTGTTTGGATGATGTAATGTTATTTATGCACTTGATTGACGTGGCGAGTGTAAGCCAACTATGTTGTCTCCTCTTTTATTATCATATTACATGGGATGTTGTGAAGATTGCCTAACTTGCGACATATGCCTTCAATGCGATTATATCTCTAAGTCATGCCTCGACACGTGGGAGCTATAGTCGCATCGAGGGTGTTACACAAACAAAGATCTAAAAGCTCAGTTACTTGAGAACTAAATCGATCATTCAATTCTATCACTTGTTGATCTATTGCAACATTAAACACATCTACTTTGTAATGATGGAGAACTGTGGTGTTGTCATGCTCATTTCGAGATTTTGTCACATCAACATATCTAAAATTGCAATATATATGAAAAACATGAATTAGTTGCATGATCTATACATTGATGAGTAAGTAGGTAAGTGACTAAATCTCTACATTTTAATTCAAATAATCATAGACAGATAGGGAAAGAGACATACTTTTGATCCATCTCCGGGATTTCAATCTCATGTTTCGCACAAAAGGATTTTACATCTTCAAAAAGACGGTCCCACCCATCATCTCTCAGTTCAGCAAGCAACTCCTTCGTGTTAGAAACACAATCTAACACAAGACACAAGACATCTGTGATTTTCATGATTCTTTACATGAGGTGTATAATGAACACAAAATCAAGCGTCATTAGGATTTTTAGGGAACCTCTAGCATCTCCTCTTGAGTTCCTTGTAGCTGAACGATCAGCTGCTACACTTCTTAGCACTGAAATTGTTGCGGTAAACATCTTTAACAAACTTTTGATGGATTTGTTGTGGGAACTCTACCTCGTGTCCCCGACCCTTTGTAAAGATCCTATTTGATTGGACTCTCTTCCTGTGCCAAGCTCTCCTAATTCAATCTCTCTAGCAATTTCAACAGCCTGGTTTTCTAGCAGCTCCTCATTGCATTTGGGAAATGCACTAACTGTATTTACTATAAAATTGGCATGGTGAGAAAAATTATGGACCTCATGTACCTCCCTTGAAGCAGCAACAAGAGCCAATTGGAGTTGATGAGCTAGGCAATGAATATAGTATGCATATGGGCACTCTTTGAGAATTAGAGCTTTTAGCCCATTCCGCTCTCCCCTCATATTGCCAGCCCCGTCGTATCCTTAGCCTCTAATATCTTTCACATTCAACCCATTATCAACTAGGATGGTAATAATTGTGTTCTTGAGAGTCAAAGCACTAATGTCTCTAACATGAATAAGATCAAGAAAATGTTCTCTTATCACCCCTTCTATGTTTGCAAAACGAAGAACTACTGCCATCTGTTCTTTTTTAGACTCATCTCTAAATTCATCAACCATGATAGAAAATTTGCTATGACCAAGTTCTTCTTTAATTGAGGTCTTCACTTTTTCAGGAAATATGCTAGCAATTTCCTTTTGAATAGTTGGTGAGGTGTACTTTGCATTTCTTGGAGCATTCTGTAGAACTTCATGTACATCCTTATTATAAGAAGCCAAAAGCTTAATCATTTCCTTGAAATTACTTTGGTTCTTGGAATCCTCGGTTTCATCATTTCCTCAGACATGCTTGGAACATTAACCACCTGATGCAATCAACATAGAATAATTATTAGACATCAAGTATTAAAAATTTCTAAATGTTTGAAATTAAATTATTCTCCTCATGGCATCAATGGAAGTCTTTAGCCTTAGTCTTGCATCAAGAACCATCTTCTTAGTTTCTTTTCTAATCACCTCATCAACATGACTCATTTTATTTTTCAGGTTTTCATAACACAGAACTGCAAAATTGTGAGCTGAGTTGGGAGTAGTGCCATATGCATGAGGAAAGCACATTCTTTTCTATTGTTAACCTGTTTCCACTTATCAAATCCTTTGACCGTGAATATGTCTGAACCACACTTTCCAATTGGCTTCTTCGAAAAGAGAAAACAAGGCAAGCAATAGGCAAGATTTGTGAGAGGTGAATATTCCAACAAGAAATCATTTGTGAACCAATCACTTTGAAATCGACGACGGCCAGCCCCTGTCCCATTAAATTCACACTCATCATCAATACATGAGCTGGTCTTAAAGGCATTAGCAGGGATCAATACTAGGATGTTGTGAGGGTGTTCGCAATGTAGAACACATGAGTTATCTTGGAATTGTCGATCTCTCGGAACAAGATGCGATGGAGTTTAAGATTTGTAATCAGAAACTCACACGCAACTTCCAAATGACCCAATGGAACATTGCTAGTGTTTCATTAAAATCAATAGAGCACGAGTCTGAATAAATTGGAGTTTAGTTTAAGCTATGTAATTTGAAAGTTTTTTATGTATGAGTTGTAACATTTGTATTTGAATTATAATCGTATTGCAAAATTGATATTTGAATCATTTCAATGTCTGAAGAAAAAAAACGACTTACAAAAAGAAAAGAAAAAGGAGGCTGATAAGCAGGGGATTTTTTAAAGCCTTGCGTTAGGTCTCTGCGCATCGATCTAAATTTTACGAACACGTCCGAACATAAACATTTTATAAGCGGACAAATAATGTTGCCCGTTTGGGTTTTGGATTGGAGATGCCCTAGTCAAGACGGCAAACCAAACCGACCCAACCTAATGCAGTCATTAGCTACAGCGAGTCAGCCGATCAACTCGAGCCGCTGGTGCCGAAATGAGAACACACCCACAGCGCTAAATCAATCGGAGCCGTCCACGCGCACAACACGTCACCCGATCACCATCCGATACGCATAGAGCGGCGGTCCGCTCAACTAACCGACCTGAAGAAGTTCAGGCTGTCGCCCGTGCTCCACGCGGTACGCCTTCCAGCCACCCCTCCAGATATTTTCAGCCTCCCCCACCACCCTACGCCTACGCCCACGCCCACGCCACCGTCCTACAACAGACACCGACATCCCGGTCCCGCCCGTACCCCACCGCGCCGGGTCTGCACGTCATTGACCGACGCCGCTTACGTGCACACCACCGGCGCCCTCCCGTGACAAGGCCGACGCGCGGGGCCCAGCGCCCACCGGCCCACACGTCGGTTAGCGGGGGGCTGGGCTAGGAGGACGCGACACGCCCCCCGCCCGTCTTCCCCACCGGACTGGAACTGGATAGTTCGCCTGCGAAGCAGAGCGGAGAGAAAAATATTTTAAAGATCGAGCGATCACGCAGAGCGACAGGGAGGAGAAGAAACCAGAGCGCGGCGATTTTATTAATAGAGAAATAAAGGCTGCCGGCGGGGCGTGGGCGCGGGGTGAAAAGCGCGAGGCGATAGAGAGAGATCACGAGGTGGGTTTTCTCCTCCGCCCAATCCAGTCCACCACCCCGGAGCTGGAGCTCATCATCATCAGCTAACTAAACTAAAGGGGAGAAGGCCAGGTGTGTGTGTCTCTCCCTCTTGGATCGCGGGGTCACGGGAGGAGCGAGCTCGGTTGCTTTGCTCCCGGCGCCGGCGGTGGGTGGAAGGGAAGGGGAGAGGGGAGGGAGGGGATGGACCGGGCGGCGCTGACGGTGGGGCCGGGCATGGACATGCCCATAATGCACGACGGCGACCGCTACGAGCTCGTCAAGGACATCGGCTCCGGCAACTTCGGCGTCGCGCGCCTCATGCGCAACCGCGCCGACGGCCAGCTCGTCGCCGTCAAGTACATCGAGCGAGGGGAGAAGGTACTCCTACTACTTCTACTACCAGAGAATCGCTAGTTCTTCGTCTCCCTGCGCGGGACGGAATCAGAGCTGAAGAGCTTGCGTTCGTGTAAGCAGATTGACGAGAACGTGCAGCGGGAGATCATCAACCACCGGTCGCTGCGCCACCCCAACATCATCCGCTTCAAGGAGGTCATCCTCACGCCCACGCACCTCGCCATCGTCATGGAGTACGCCTCCGGCGGGGAGCTCTTCGAGCGCATCTGCAACGCCGGCAGGTTCAGCGAGGACGAGGTCCGCCCATCACCCTCCCCCTTCCTTCCTTCGCCATGACGTTCTCCGTTTCTCATACGTGGACTACTAGTGATCGATCACTGTACTAACCGCCCAAGCCTCTGACTTTTCAGGCGCGTTTCTTCTTCCAGCAGCTGCTCTCAGGAGTCAGCTACTGCCACTCCATGGTACTCTTTCCTTTTCGGGCGATTCCACAGTTTGTTAGGCTGTTACGGTAGCTACGACTGAAATGGTTTCGTCTTTTGTTAAGCAAGTATGCCATCGTGACTTGAAGCTGGAGAACACGCTGCTGGACGGGAGCACGGCTCCTCGCCTCAAGATATGCGACTTTGGCTATTCCAAGGTACTCCCTCCGTCCGGAAATACTTGTCGAAGAAATCCATAAAAATGGATGTATTTAGAACTAAAATACGTCTAGATACATCCATTCCTCCGACAAGTATTTCCGGACGGAGGGAGTACATAACTTACTAAAACAAGATACTTGCTTCACTGTCGCGCAGGCTTTCAGTTTTCAGCAATCAACATAGTATTTACTCTGTTTACATGCCAGAATGGGGGTTATGCTCTGCTTGCCATCCTAGTAGTTTTTTGTGTCCTAGTGTATCGACCTGTTATTCTACTCATTCCTCATTCCTGTTTCGTGTATTTGCAGTCGTCGGTTCTTCATTCGCAACCAAAATCTACGGTTGGAACACCGGCGTACATTGCTCCGGAGGTTCTTCTCAAGAAGGAATATGATGGAAAGGTATGCATACCAGGGTTTAAAATTTCAACGAAATTTCATTGAAAATTTCGCATATTTCGGCGGGGTATGAAATATTTATAGCCCTGAAATTTCGAGTCCAGTTCAAATTAAAAAATCAAATTAGGTTAAAATTCATTAAATTTGAAAATTCAAAATGCCAAATAATTTCTGAAATACGCGGAATTTCCAAAATTCCGCATATCTCGGTGACGTCCGAATTTTTTTGTTTCTGAAACTAAAGGCCTTGAAGCATACATATTGCTGCTCCATGTTAATATTACTTTTCATGATATCCTGATCCTGTTGTTTTGTGTAATGTTCATGCCCATTTTTCTCCAACCATATTTGCATTGTGAAGATTTCCATTCGTGAGATGCATGATGTATAATCCCATGGTACTACTAGACTCTGCGATGTGTCATCTCAAGCTACCTGCCGCTAATCCTTTGTTCTTCGATGAAATGAAGATTGCGGATGTGTGGTCCTGTGGAGTGACGCTCTATGTTATGCTAGTTGGTGCATATCCCTTTGAGGATCCTGATGAGCCCAAGAATTTTAGGAAGACAATTCAGGTTCCCATTCTTATAGCTATCTTAATCTCTTGACCATCTCTGTTCTGATCACAAACTAATGAGCTTGCTTTGCCAGAGGATATTGAGTGTGCAGTACTCGATTCCAGATTACGTGCACATATCTTCCGAGTGTCGACATCTTATCGCCAAGATTTTCGTTGGCAACCCAGCTACCGTGAGTAGTACTTATATCTACTAACCATGTAGTGTTTGAGTCACTAGATTGTTGCGTGCAGTTTATTTTAAGGTTGATAACTTTTGCAGAGAATCACAATCCCTGAGATAAGAAACCATCCGTGGTTCTTGAAGAACCTCCCAGCTGACCTGGTGGACGACAGCACCATGAGCAGCCAGTATGAGGAGCCTGAACAGCCGATGCAGAGCATGGACGAGATCATGCAGATCCTGGCGGAGGCCACCATCCCGGCGGCCGGTTCTCGGATCAACCAGTTCCTGAACGACGGTCTCGACCTTGACGACGACATGGACGACCTTGATTCAGACGCCGACCTCGACGTCGAAAGCAGCGGGGAGATAGTGTATGCTATGTGACGGTGCAAAACCTCTCGACGAAGCAGTTCTTCTATAAGTTGACCGTAAGATGCCAAGCTACTCGAGACTCTCAGAAGGGATAGGGTACCGCGGTGCTTGATAGCCCGCCCACAAATGTTACTTTGTTGTACTAGTTGGTCTCTGTACTTCCAATGTTGTAGTACAACGGTTTGGCCTTTTGGATGTGACCTTGTGTTGCTCCAATGCTGTGTTGACTATCTCTGCTGATTTGAGAACTGGTAGATCATCTGTAACCCGTGTCATCACATCATCTTTGTACCATGTATATGTGTTGTAGGCAAATAAGAGACACTACAGCTTGATCAGTTTCGTTTCGACCTTTCAGTTCAGATGAGTTTGTGTGTTTCTGCATTGTGGTTCTTGCTACGATTCAGTGTATCCATTTACGTGCAGGGCTCCAGGTGTTGAGATATGCACTCGGTTCAGATAAGAGACTCTCATATTATTGAGCAATTTGAGTTGTACATATTAATATCAGATTTCAGCATATCGTGGGCTCATCTTACCTATTGAGAAGTTCAGGAGTCAATAAATTATGAACCATTGTGGAATCTTTCTGTCTGTGAAATTCAGGAGTCAATACTCGAGACACTCAGAAGGGACAGGGTTTAAAATTTCAGCATATCGTGGACTGACAACGATAGGGCCACGGAGGACAACGTCGCTCTCGGCGCCTGATCAACCAAACCCACTCGTCTAACAATCCAGATTAACAAAATAATCCAGATCATTCTCGCAAATTATGCAAAGACCATGGCTCATACTTCGCTAAGAAGCATTTGGCCAGCATGGGCATCTCATGCATCGAGCAACTGAAAGCACAAAACTCCACAGCAATCCTGGATTATCGTCACTAACTCACCACAACCTCCATCTCATGCATCAAGCAACTGAAAGCACAAAACTCCACAGCAATCCTGGATTATTGTCACTAACTCACCACAACCTCCATCTCATGCATCAAGCAACTGAAAGCACAAAACTCCACAGCAATCCTGGATTATTGTCACTAACTCACCACAACCTCCATACATCAAGCAAGCCATTATTCGAAAACAAAAAACATCCACCGGATTTATTGCACAGGCAGCATGATCTAAAGTTGAAACCCCCTCCACTCACATGTGATAGTTGAGGTCACTGCCAATGCAGCGATCCAGAGCAAACACATCATGGAGACACCAAGGGATTGAACACATGACCGACGAATAGCACCACGCCTGTGAGGTCTTCTCGGATAAGGAAGAGGAAAGGGTGATCCGCGACGAAATCCACCTTCACGGGCTCTACTGGCAGTGACCTAAGTGTGACCACAGAAGCAGTTGCCGCGGCAGCCTCGGTGCCTTCTTCGTTCACCTCGACAAACGACTTGTGGAAAACGGACGAGACGTATAAGCCCGCCGATGAATCCACCATCTCCGAAAGATCAGCCTCTGCGCTGAACGGCAGCTGGAGACCCAAACCTTTGAGCATATCAGACGCTTCAAATCCAAACGATATCTTGAACTTCGGAAGCTTGAACTGCCCGACAGGAACCTTCTGCATTGGGATATGGTTCTCCAAGAACTCTGGTTCGGTGCTCAACTTGTTGGCCAAGTTCCAGAGACCATCCTGTGCTTCTGGAAGAAGAATGTACATGGAGAACTGCCTCCTGTCCTCGCCTTGCTGGTAAGGAAGCTTCAGTACCTTCAAGCTGTCAGAACACGAAATGTATTGCTTCTTTGTACTGGACATGAATGGTGTTTGAACTGAGCTCCCATCAAGGAGGTGGAACTTCTCATCTTTTGTCTTGGACGCGTCAAACTTCTCAGTCCAGGCTCCTTTGAAATAAAGGGCATTACCAAGAACCAGTCTAGTGGTATTGTCAACAGACCCTGCAGGGAGGATCTCTTTGATGAGACCTGTTGTGATTTTATCTACCCAGGAGTTCACCTGACCAGCAACTTCAGCAGCCTGGACCATTGCAAAATACATCAATACTTAGAACAACTGAAAAATCATACTAATGCTCATTTAAAGTTGCTCGAAATGTATACTCATTTAAATGGTCATCACACCAACTAGGAGCGACATTGTGCAATACCACTACTGATTTTTTGACAATTCTAATCCAGTAATCTTTAGTTTATTTTTGTACATTATCTTAGAAACAAAATCCCCATGAAGGTAATAAATGAAAACGACAAAAAGACCCTGAAAACGCTTAAATACAGGCCAACGAATTTGGAATGCCCTGGGCATTCCTATTGATCTAACATACATACTACACTCAAGAGCCTAAAAATGTCAATATCAACAAATTCCCCAGGCTTCAAATCACTAGATAGCACACTATGAAAATTGCACTTCTAAAAAGGAGTATATTTCATCTCAAAAGTAACGGACTAGCTATGCCAAAACCGCACTAATGCAAGTTCCAGTGTGTAAATTATCTGTACAAAGGGGAAATCTAAAGAGCAAGTTAGCAACATGACACCATAAAAAGTAATACTTCCAAAGTTCCATTAATTTCTACTGTTTAGTAAACACCTATACTTCAATGATTAAATTGAGCTCTTTTGGCACGGCATCAGTAGTTCATCACATTTTAAAGCTTGATAAGGAAATAATTTGCACAGGCCTGAACGCTTAGCAGTAGAACATTCAGTCGAATTTATTGCATTTACCAAAACAGCCGAAAGACAAGAGGCTTCAGCAATGCTCTTCTATAGCTACCTATACGTATATGTAGCAACTCCATACAACAGTACCAAAGCTCCTGGTGTTCAACAAAACAGTATGGAAACCACTAAATTACAAATCTAGAATGGTTAAAAGACCTAGCGAAATACCACCCCATATCCATATCTACATCACACCTGCACAAAACAACCACTTTCGGAGAAAGAATGACACGGCGAACTGTAAAGACACGAGTAGATGAACTACCAGCTAGTGATGTGCACAAATAATGAGCAAATCTGTACTGTGTATTTTTTTTTCTGGTGAAGGATCTTGCCGTCGTTGCAAGAACTAGCTAGACAAGGAAGGGGATCACCTTAGTTTGGAAGTCCACGGACTGCGTCTCGGCCTTGTACTTGCCCACGGCGAGATCCTTGAAGGAAGGCTTGAGCTTGAGCGACGCGTCGACGAAGACGCCGTTGGCGAAGGCGACCCGCGGGCCGCCGGCGCCCGACGCGTCGGCGAGCACGACCTGAACCACCTGCTCGGCGAGCGCGTGGAGGTCCTCGGACCCGCCTTTCTCCGCGGACCCGAGCGCGGCGGCGAGCTGGTCGCGGGTGGCGCCGCCGGCGGCGAGCTGGTCGCGGGTGGCGCCGCCGGCGCCGGCCGCGACGAGGCTAAGCGCGACGTGGAGCGAGAGCGGGGAGAAGGCGGCGTTGCCGGCGGAGCCCTTGGCGTGGGAGGGCGAGGAGATGGCGGAGGCTAGGCGGAGGGCGAAGCGGGTCTGGTGCCCGATGGAGAGGCGGATGTCGGTGGTCGCCATGGCCGGGTGGTTGCTCGTCGGACTTTGGGTGGACTGGAGAGGAAAATGGGATGAACGTGCGATTTTCGAGGGTTTCAGGGTTCTCACTGGTTATGTAGCGGGTGCCTGATCAGAGTTTTTTTTTAAAGCAAAAATATCGAAGGGTGCCTGAAACAGAGTTGGCATTATTTTCGCGGTGAATGGGGTGTTCGTGGTAAAAAAAGGAGGGACAACGTGTGCGGTCTCACAGGGTATCGTGTGCCCGTGTGCGTGCGTGACCACGTGTGCGGTCTCCCACGTATTTTTTTGGAAATAAAGGAAAGTAGACCATTTGTCTACCTTTTTTTTTTGAAGTTAGACCATTTGTCTACCTTATTACGTACTCCCTCCGTCTTATAATATAATGTACGAGTGTTTTTCATATTAGTGTAGTATCAAAAACACTTTCATATTATGGGACGAATGGAGTATTTTTAACACGGTACAGACCCTCGTATATACGCATATACACTCACATTTATGAGTACATGCACACACATGTTAATCATATGAGCATCTTCGAGAGATTAAGCCGACACATCATATTGAGATTGACCAAATAACCATATATGCCTTTATAGTCAACGAGAACGTCTCCTCTCACTGAACGCACGTTGCCGGTAAGCCTGGAATAAATTCAAAAAAATATGAGCACAAATATCAAATTTAGGACTTGAAGCCTGGTATACAACTATCTACACTTAGCATTCCAAAACAGGCCTGAGCCACTAGCCAATCTATGGTTGAAGGGTTGTATCATGTGTGATTTATAACAGGTGATTTGTATTGACAAATCATGTGAGATATACTCCTAAGAAGTCAGTTCTATTTTTGCGGTTGACCTAAGAAGTTGTTTGTGACGATGTTCACACGATTTCAATAATTATAAGTTTTCCAGGCCGCACAAAATATTTAAGAATGCATAAAAACAAAAAATGATAAAGGAACGGAGGTTCATAGGTTCTTAATTGCACGAAATATTTGAAACATATACCGTGACTGCGGAAAAAAGAGTAATTAATCATCACCGATCTACTTCTTGGCGGCACGCTTGCTAGTCTTGTGGCTACTGTGGCACGGCCCTTTATCATCCTCTGTGAGTCACAAGAATGAGACACGTCTGCATGACAATGATCTATATGTACGTGGCATAGCTTTTTTAGGCGTCCTTGGTTGTGTGCATGACGTGCTCTAGACTCGTTTTCTTCCCAAATCGAGTGCCGACGACGCTTGTCAATGTCATCCTTCATGCCCCTTAGAACCATGAGAGTATCATAGTCACTTTTACTGTCCGATGGTCTTTGGGGTTGCTCAAACGTCACCTGTAACACGGTTGTCGATACTTAAACCAGCAGACCTCGGGTAGGGGGCCTGAGCTATGTATCTTGGATCGATGGGCAACAGGAGACGAAGGAGACAATATTTACCTAGGTTCGGGCCCTCTCGAAGAGGTAAAACCCTACGTCTTGTTTTGATTGTATTGATGATGATTTATTGAGTATAGGCTTGATCTACCTCGAGATCGTATGTTGTGTTCTAACCTTGAGGTGTGTAATAATGAATTCGCCCCTACGGTCTAAACCCCTCAGCTTTTATATAGATGCTGGGGTATCTAGGGTTACATATGGTCGGTTGCCATCTAGGGATAAACATGCCAATAATCAAAATAATCCTTAGGGTGCACGCCAAGTCGTCAACAGCGTCCGACTCCACCACGCCAAAGTTTGAGGCCTATGAAGTTATTCCTTGCGAGATTGGTGGACCATAAGCTCGGCATGTGGACTGTGGGCCAACTAGGTTGGCACCCCTAGTCCATGACACCGTCAGTAGCCCTGAACTGTCTTCAAAGCCGGGGACTACAATTCTTCTCGGACAGATGACTTCGGCTTGACAGGATAGTTCTTTTTTCCGGTGATCACCCACACAAATCTGTTGTCTTATTTGCGCAAGGCAATTCTTCCGAGCTCTCCCTCTAATGGGGCAGCCCGTCGACCGCACGCTTCAAAGTCCACGCTTTGTCAACCGAGGTCTTTTGGATAGCTTAGCCCTGAAGGCTTTACTACTCGAGTGCGAACAATGTTTATAACATGACAACTTTTTCGAAGCGTCGCCACTTATACCAACGCAAGTCAGTTATTGTTACTCGAATCGCGGCCCGAGGCGGTTTTCTCATTGGCACGTCGTATCAAGGTAGAGATCATGCTCCGTATTTTAGGGGATATCATCAAGATTCATTTCATCTCACGTACACATTACTGCGCCCACGGCTCAAACATGGCGATTAATCTAGTGTGGCAAGCGGGACTCTTGGTCTTTCACAGACCTATAAGAGCAAGGGATAATAGTACCATCTTCCCCACACTTCCATTCCCTCGCCATTACGCACAGCCTCCAGAGCTCTAGCACCTAGATTCGCTCTGAAGCTCTCGCCAGTCCACCATCGCTTATAGCTCCCTCCTCGTCGATCTCCGAAGCCACCTTGAAGGGCTAGTGGGCGTCCTCCACCACTACGAAGGGCGTCATCCAGGAGCTCAGAACCGCGGGATACATCTCCACCACCCCCGCCTGCCAGGAACCGGAGTCCAACCAGCGGATTCCCACTCCCAAGCCAGGGGAGCGGGTTATCTCAAGGAAATATGCCCTAGAGGCAATAATAAAGTTATTATTTACTTCCTTATATCATGATAAATGTTTATTATTCATGCTAGAATTGTATTAACCGGAAACATAATACATGTGTGAATACATAGACAAACTTAGTGTCACTAGTATGCCTCTACTTGACTAGCTCGTTAATCAAAGATGGTTATGTTTCCTAACCATGAACAAAGTGTTGTTATTTGATTAACGAGGTCACATCATTAGTTGAATGATCTGATTGACATGACCCATTCCATTAGCTTAGCACCCGATCGTTTAGTATGTTGCTATTGCTTTCTTCATGACATATACATGTTCCTATGACTATGAGATTATGCAACTCCCGTTTGCCGGCCGAACACTTTGGGTGCTACCAAACGTCACAACGTAACTGGGTGATTATAAAGGAGCATTACAGGTGTCTCCAAAGGTAGATGTTGGGTTGGCGTATTTCGAGATTATGATTTGTTACTCCGATTGTCGGAGAGGTATCTCTGGGCCCCCTCGGTAATGCAATCACTTAAGCCTTGCAAGCATTGCAACTAATGAGTTAGTTGCGGGATGATGTATTACAGAACGAGTAAAGAGACTTGCCGGTAACGAGATTGAACTAGGTATAGGAATACCGACGATCGAATCTCGGGCAAGTAACATACCGATGACAAAGGGAACAACGTATGTTGTTATACGGTCTGACCGATAAAGATCTTCGTAGAATATGTAGGAGCCAATATGGGCATCCAGGTCCCGCTATTGGTTATTGACCGGAGACGTGTCTCGGTCATGTCTACATTGTTCTCGAACCCGTAGGGTCCGCACGCTTAAGGTTTCAATGACAGTTATATTATGAGTTTATGAGTTTTGATGTACCGAAGGAGTTCGGAGTCCCGGATGAGATCGGGGACATGACGAGGAGTCTCGAAATGGTCGAGACGTAAAGATCGATATATTGGACGACTATATTCGGACATCGGAAAGGTTCCGA